CCCGTGCCATATTGGAATTTAAAATGGCTTGCTATATGGTTTGTCAGACATTTCAAATCACATTATTGAAGTCAGCATGTCAAAATGCTCTTGTGTACCAAGTTGTAGCGCCGCAAGTCATTTAGAACCCAAGATAGTAATGCTTCAATGTTTCTCCCTTATGGTGGCCATATTGGAATTCAAAATGCGCTGCCATATGGTTTGGCAAACATGTCAAATCAATCCATTATTGAACTCAGGATGGTCAAAATGTCTTGTGACCAAATATAAGCACACATGTCATTTAGAACCAAGATAGCTAATGTTCAATGTTTCGTCATGGTGCCATATATGAATTCAAAGATGGCGGCCGCGTCCATTAGTCAGATCTCTTGGATCCGGCAATTTTGAAATCAGTGCCCCAAAATTACCCGCTGTATACAAAATTTCACCCTTTCTGCCAGATGTGAAACATTTTTTTCACATATCTGCCCACTAATATGCAGTGTAGCTCGGGTCAGTCGTTAACGCCTGGCAGTGTGGCTGGGGGTCAGTCGTTAAACGCTGCAGTGTGGCTGGGTCAGTCCACTAACGCCTGCCAGTGTGGCTGGGGTCGGTCACTAACGCCTTGCAGTGTAGCTGGGTCAGTCGTTAACGCCTGCAGTGTGGGCTGGGGTCAGTTCGTTAACGCCAGCAGTGCAGCTGGGGGTCAGTCCGTTAAACGCCTGCAGTGGTGCTGCGGGTTAGTCGTTAACGCCTGGCCAGTGTAGCCTGGGGTCAGTCGTTAACGCCAGCAGTGTGGCTGGCGCAGTCCGTAACGCCTGCAGTGTAGCTGTGCGTCAGTCGGTAACGCCTACATAGTAGGTAGGATTAGTCGTTAATGCCTACAGTGTGGCTGGGGTCAGTCGTTAACGCCTGCAGTGTGGCTGGGGTCAGTCGTTAACGCCTGCGGTTAGCTGTGGTCGCAGTCGTTAACGACAGCTGTAGCTGGGGTCAGTCACTAACGCCTGCAGTGTAGCTGGGGTCAGTCGTAACGCCTGCAGTGTAGCTGGGGTCAGTCGTTGTAACTTTTGACGCTGAACGTTACAATTGATCGTTGTCGCTGCAACGGGTGTTAGGCAATAATGTCTGCACGTGCATCGGTGTTGTGCAACAGTAGAGGGCGTCCATAGACAGCAAGCCTGAAGAGATATCGAACAGAATCAAATGAAAATACTTAGAGAGAATTTCGTCGCATGTGCGACGTACACTTTATTCACGTTAAATCACTACAGATCAAATACCGATCTTCACTTGAAACATTTGCCACATTGATTTCAAGAATTTTCACCTTGTAATCGGATCCCGTTTCAAATTCAAAATGGCCGACCGGCCACCATAGCTACACAACTGACGCGACCGCACGAATATTACACCACAAAACTAATCTAACTTAATGCTTTCTAGACGTTGCCACGGGAAGTTCTACCTTGCTGGCATCTTGCAAATTATTGCACTCTAGTTCCTAAATGTACCCGAAAATTCAAAGGAAAGCTTTTTCTCAGACAAAATAGTGCAACGCGGCAAACACTTGCGCATGATATGAATGTATGCCCACCTATAGGAAACTGCACTGTCACTCTAGTTACTAATACTGAATAAATGTGTGTCAAGTTCACTGAACTATAACATTATATTGTTATAGATTCAGTGGTCAAGTTACTATCGATGATGAGAAGAATACGCGGCAGTCCGCTCTTACCGCGCGCCATGCGCGATGACCTGGTGATGATGACGACACGATGACCGTAACCTGAATCACGTTAACGATTAACGTTTACAAATACAATAAAAACGTTTTTACCAAACGTTTTAGAAAACGTTATAAAAACCTACACATTTACGTTATATAAGACGTTACAAAACACGTTTAGCTGCGGGTTGTTTGCGTTTTCACTTTCTTGGCGCGTTCTCCCAACTTGCACCAGAGCGCGAAATGTTCGCAGTTGTTAAAAATCAGCTGAATCGGCATCCTCGACCGGCTCTCCGCCTCGATCCATCACCGTATCCGCGGGTCGCTCTCCAGCGTTGTAGACGTGCCGGCGATCTCGCTACCATATATCCCACATGCTTCATACCGTAAAGGGTAGATCTTAAGATTGCACCAATCTAGGAATACGTCGAGGGCATCTCTGCGTATTGTCGCGTTGGATTTGTCGCCAGATTTTGCTCCATCGAAGTGGATGACTTTTCTGCCGTCCAGATTCCAGGTGATGGTAGCGGTACGCCACACGTAAATGTGTGTCGCCTCGTTTCAACTCGCCTTCACTGATGTCATGAAACAGCCGGCATCTATAAACATGTACAGCAAACAGTCAGTGGCTCCACATAGTGGTTGAGTGTGTGAGAGATAGAACTTGTAAACATCTGACGATAGAATGTCAGTTTGTTAATGCCTCGAAGATATAATGCCTCGTCTCCTTCCCATTACTTCAACAGTGAGATGATATGCGTTCAACCCCCACTACTTTTGCCCCGCGGAATTTAATGCAGGGTTTAAGGATTAGGTTATGATTCTGTAAATTTAAAGTTAGAGTTAAGCGTTAGGGTTGAGGTACGAGATTGAATTATGCTTTATGATTTATGTACCACTTATAACTAAAGATAAATCTTTAAAACAGCGATAAAAGCAACTATAAAAGCTCTCTGCCTTAGGCATTCAGCAAAGAAGAGATAGCGCGTGGCAAGCTAACCTCGCAGTGTTACCAGCTGGACTAACCCCTACTGTAGCATTTACTGTGAAAGCAGCCCCGGGGTCTCAGTCGTTACTGAACCGGAGATAAGCACCGCCTATAGTCATAGACACTAACTAGTCATATGAACCAAACTAACGTGGCCAACTGGACGCGGCTATAGTACTATAAGCTAGGCACCGTCCTATGCCGCCATAATAGGCGCGGGAAGGGATTTAACTAACTATAACTAACGCACCTAATCGTGTCATGATCCTAAGCCTGTCTTTAAACCTGGGACAACCTGAATATTGTTGGGCTGATCAAGTGATCCAGCAGTAAATTACCACGGAGATAGTGATGTACGCTTTGGGTGACAGGCGGGGTGACAGGGTGGTCGAAAAGGATTGCAACGAGAAAGGTAAGAGATGGTACGTATAAAAAGGAGGAATATAAGAGGAGTATATTATAGAGTAGGACGTACGTATGGATAGGGATGGAGACGCCGATGAGAGGAAAAGCTCAAGCCAAAGGGACGAGAAGCGCTATAGCACGAGTTACTATTACTGTAATTTACTGGTTAGAAAGACGTTGGAGCGACAGACATCCAGAAGTTGGAAAAGGAAACGAGAAAGTTGTGAGTGATGAGGAATAAGCGTGGCGCTCACAGAAAGAATGTTGTTTGAGAATATAAATAACACAATAACTCACCGGTGTTTAGTTAGCTTTGTATAGAAGCCCTGCGCCTTAGTTTAAGCAATACTCTGGTAGCTGGTGTACATGTACACTGCGCTCCTATCACCAACAGCAGTAGATCTGAGAGAAACAGGACAAACTCAGGCGATGTGCGCTGGTAGGTTTATACCTGCGACCTAGCGCGGGGAAGAACAGCTTATGTACAGCGCCTACGCGTTTGGAAAACATCGGCGGGAATTCCTGAACTCGCTCAGACTTCTAGTCTGCAAAACAGAGCGCCGCTACATCATGTACCACACACCCATACGCACCACGCACCACGCGAGCGCGTACGCACTCAGGCGCGCGCGCGCATGCACGAACACACGGCATGCACGCACGCACGAACACTCGCATGCACGCCCGGCACAACTTACACATACACACGCACACACACGCGCGCATGCGTCACGCATGCACGAACACACGCACGCACGAACACACGCATGCACGCACGGAAACGTTACACATACACACGCACACACACGCGCGCATGCAAACGCATGCCCGCACGCACGAACGCACGCATGCACGCACGGAAACATTACACACACACGCACACACACACACGCACACACACGCGCGCATGCCCGCACGCACGAACACACGCATGCACGCACGGAAACATTACACACACACGCACATACACGCGCGCGCGTACGCATGCCCGCACGCACGAACACACGCATGCACGCACGGAAACATTCCAAACATTTATATAGTTCGCGTGCGTGCATGCGCGTGTGTGTGTAATATCTTCGTCTCAAAAGTAACGACATGATAGACGACAACATCGCAAACACAAACACGCACGGACGCACGCACGCAAGCACGCACGCACGCACACACACACAAACACGCGTACGCGATATCGAACGCGTGCCTCCAGTCACTCGCCTGCAAACATGTTACGCTCTCGTTGGTGTGTAGCAACAAGCTACAGTTACGAAAAAAATACACCTCTCCCACGTAGAGTTAAACATTTCTCCAATCAGCGCATCAGCCGACGTGCCAACATAACGCTCACTGAATGAAATATGATGGCTGCATGCTTGCCCGGGAGGGAATGTTTCACGCTCCCAGTTCTGTATACAGCCCACCATTTGACCTCGGATTGCAGCAGCAGCAGCAGCAGCGGCAGCAGTTGAGTAGAACCAGTGAAGCACTGGCAGCAAGAACAAGTCCGCACCTGCAGCTACAGCACACACGCATCTATTGACTATGTAACCTAGGAATAGGACGGGAACGCCAAACGGTTACGTCACTGCCTCTGGCAACCGGTCAAGTACGGGACGGAGCTTATACGTACATAGTACGACTGACCTAGTGGAGGGAGAACAAAAGCAGCTTAACAATAAACAAAGGGAGACGGCGGGTACGCCTATCGACCTAAGGCACTGAGGTCGGCCGCGGACGTCGGGCAGATAAATAAAGCGAATGTAACAGAGTGATGAGATAGAGAGTGTGCTAGGACCAGCCGTGACGAGGCGGGCCGAGACGGCTCCGACGAGATGGCATCAGGAGTAAGATAATATAGATATAGATAAGATAGATAAGATAGATAGATATCTAAGATAGATAGATAGATATAATATAGATAAGATTCTATATTATCTTACTCCTGATGGCATGTATACGTAACTATGGTTTTTCTTGGTATGTTAGTTTTGATTGTACAGACTGTTTAGATGGTTGTTAGAGTAAATAATATAGAGTTCGGTCGTGATAGTATTGCTGGTTAGTAGTATAGGTTAGCGGGGTTATGAGTATATGTGTCGCGGGGATGGATTAAGCGGGACGTAGCTGTTCACAACGGTAGCAACAGCGCTTGTAGGCAAGCGCTGGGTAGTCATTAGAATCCATGACGAATTTATAACGATTGGGGTGTTGAGATTGAAGTGTACTGTGATGGAGAGATATTAATTAATAAATGTTATGCTTGTAAGTATTATCTAAATTACTGTGTTGCGTTGTCTATCACGTACTGGTTGTTATATCCTCGAGCGGGGTTATTCCTTCGCAAGGTGCTAAAACATAAATACGATCACGCCGTCGCGCGGGGCTTAATTAAAGAAGCACGCGGTGACATAAAATGATGCCGCAGTGACCAGGATATAAAATTTCAGTCACGTGATACGTAGCGCTAACGCATGAGTGATCTAATCCGATTGTTTTTCAGCAGTTAATGCACATTCCGTTTCAGAAATCGCAGGGCCAGGTAACGGGTAGTAAGGGGTTTGAGGTAAGCTATTTTGGGGGACGCTAGAGCTAGGCCGTACGATGGCGCAAGGGATAAATATGGGAGATATCGTTCAGATTATGGGACAAGCACTGAGCCCAGTGGTGAGAGAGATAAGAGATGAAATGAAACTACAGGGGATACGGGGGGAGATACGGAAATTTACGGGGGATGCGAAGGTAGATAGCATGAAATTTAGGGAATATGAGAGGCAGTTGGAGGGAATAGGCGCTCGGCTGGGAGCGAACGCGGATTTAAAAGAGGTGCTCTTGATGACGACAGCGGGGGTGGCTTACGATTTTTGCATCCGACAAACAGGGGAGAACGCGGCGATAGGGGGAGAGGAGCTAATAGAGCTGATGAGGGTAAGATTCGGGGATCAGTTCGAACGGCTAGCTGCGAGACAGGATTTGAAAAGGATCGCGCAGAGGCGGGACGAGACGTTCCAGGAGTTCGAGGAACGCATCGCCAGGGTGTATGGTACGGCTTACCCGGGAGAGATAGGACAGGCACCGGGGATGCAGGGGACTTTAGTGGAAGCATTTATAGACGGATTGGCTAAGAAGGCGATTAGAAGGGAACTAATAGCGCAGAACCCCAGTACCCTACAAGAGGCAGCAAAAGTAGCGAGAAGGGAAGAGAGACTAGACAGAGAGGTAGCACTGAGGGAAAGAGAGGTCCCAATGAAGGTAAATAGCGCCACAGCAAGGGAAGGAGAAGGTCGATTAAAATAGAGAGAGATTAAAGTGCGATTAAAGTAGAGAGAGAGAGAGAGAGAGAGAGAGAGAGAGAGAGAGAGAGAGAGAGTGAGAGCGGGTGATCGAGAGAGAGAGAGAGAGAGAGAGAGAGAGAGAGAGAGAGAGAGACAGAGAGAGAGAGATAAACTATTGTTGCGCTCCAGGCAAGCGGCCTTTTGGGAGACAACGCAGATGATACGATCAAGTCGCTTGCGGGAGCCTGATTGAGAAATGTTGTCAACTCCTACGTGGGAGAGGTGTGTTTTCTTCGTAACGCAGCGTTGTTGCTACCCAAGCACACGAGAGCGGTAACAGAGAGAACACACAACGTGCAAGTGCCAATCGGCAGAGCCAGTATTGGGCAGGCAGTTCCACAAACGGGCTACCCGCGAGTTGAGAGTTCAGAGTCGTTAACGTCTGCAGTGATGCCTGGGGTCAGTTGTTTAACGGCGCCGTACCTGCCATGTAGCTGGGTCAGTCGTTGGCAGGCCTGCAGGGCTGGGCCGTGGTCAGAAACGGTTACACCTGCAGTCTACTTGGGGTTCAGTCGGTTAACCGCACTTACATGCAGTGTGGCTGGGGGCAGTCGGTAACGCCTACAGATCGAGCCTGGGTCAGTCGTTAACGCTGCAGGTAGCTGGGGTCGTCGTCGAACGGGCCTTCGGTTACTGGGTCAGTCGTTAACGCCTGAGCAGTGTAGCTGGGGTCAGTCGGTAACGCCTGCAGTGTAGCTGAAGTCAGTCGTTACAGCCAGCAGTGTGGTTGGGGTAGGTCGTGGTAGGCTTTTGGACGGCTGCGAAACTTACAAGTTGGTCGTTGCATCGCGCGCGCGACCGCTGAGTGTTCTAGCCAATAGTGGGTGCCCGCGCTAAGGTGTTGTGCAACAGTACGAGGCGCGTCCATCAGCAGCCAACGCCTGAAATAGAACATCCGAACACGAATAAATTAACCATTACTATAGAGAGAAAGATTCGTCCCATACGCGACGTTACACTTAGTTCACGTTAAATCATTACAAGATTCAACACCGACTCAACATCGAAACATTTGCCACATTTGAATTTCAAGAAGTTTCAACGCTTGTTGAGTCGATCCAGTTCAAAATACAAAATGCCGACCGCCACCATAGCTACACCACTTGAGCGACGCACGAATATTACAACCCACAAAAAACTGAATCGTCACTTAATGCTTTCTAGCCGTGCACGGGCTCTACCTTGGCTGGCAGCATGGCAAATTATTGCATTTAGTTCCTAAATTTTACCAAAAATTCAAAGGAACAGCACAATATTCACCCTGAAGAACGAAAATAGGATACAACGACGCGGCGCACACACTTGCGCATGATTATTAATGTATCCACCCTGATACGGTAAACAGGCCGTCACCGTAAAGTTACTAATACTGAAAATGTGTGCAAGTCACTGGAACTAAACACATATATTGTTATAGGTTTCGGTGGTCAAGTTACTAGCGATACGGAAAGAATACGCCGCAGTTCCGCTGGCGGCCGGCGCGCCTATGCGCAAGTGTACCCGGGATGGACGGACGTTGATAGATGAACGTCAACAGTGGGGAGTAAACCTGATCACGTTAACGTTTAACGTTTACAAATACAATAAAAACGTTTTTACAAACGTTTAGAAAACGTTATAAAAACCCTACACATTTACGTTATATAATCGCTTATTATTATATTTGCCTCAACACTTTCTTGGCGCGTTCTCCCAACTTGCACCAATGCGCGAAGTGTTCGCAGTTGTTAAAAATCAGGTTGTAACCGCTATCTCCGATCCGGCTCTCCGCTCGATCCATCACCGTATCCGGCGGGTCGCTCTCCAGCGTTGTAGACGTGGTCAACCACTCGTACCATGTATTCCACCAGCTCACACCGTAAAGGTAGATCTTAAGTTTGCCACCATTTAGGAATACGTCGAGGGTATCTCTGCGTATTGTCGCGTTGGATTTGTCGCCAGATTTTGCTCCATCGAAGTGGATGACTTTTCTGCCGTCCCAGATACCATGGTGATGGTAGCCGGTACGCCACACGTAAATGTGGTCGCCTCGTTTCAACTCGCCTTCACTGATGTCATGAAACAGCGGCATCTATACAACATGTACAGCAAACAGTCAGTGGCTCCACATAGTGGTTGAGTGTGTGAGAGATAGAACTTGTAAACATCTGACGATAGAATGTCAGTTTGTTAATGCCTCGAAGATATAATGCCTCGTCTCCTTCCCATTACTTCAACAGTGAGATGATATGCGTTCAACCCCAGCTACTTTTGCCCCCGGGAATTTAATGCAGGGTTTAAGGATTAGGTTATGATTCTGTTAAATTTAAAGTTAGAGTTAAGCCGTTAGGGTTGAGGTACGAGATTGAATTATGCTTATGATTTATGTACCACTTATAACTAAAGATAAAATCTTTAAACAGCGATAAAAGCAACTATAAAAGCTCTCTGCTTAGCATTCAGCAAAGAGAGATAGCGCGTGGCAAGCTAACTCGCAGTGTTACCAGTGGACTAACCCCCTACTGTAGCATTTACTGTGAAAGCAGCCCCGGGGTCTCAGTGTTACTGAACCGGAGATAAGCACCGCCTATAGTCATAGGAACTAACTAGTCATATGAACCAACTAACGTGGCAACTGGACGCGGGCTATAGTACTATAGCTAGGCACCGTCCTATGCGCCATATAGGCGCGGGAAGGATTTAACTAACTATAACTAACGCACCTAATCGTGTCATGATCCTAAGCCTGTCTTTAAACCTGGGACAACTGAAATATTGTTGGGCTGATCAAGTGATCCAGCAGTAAATTACCACGGAGATAGTGATGACGCTTTGGGTTGACAGGGTGACAGGGTGTCGAAAAGGATGGCACGAGAAGGTAAGAGATGGGACGTATAAAAGGAGGAGTATATAAGGAGAGTATATTATAAGGTAGGACGTACGTATGAGATAGGGGATGGAGACGCCGATGAGAGGAAAAGCTCAAGCCAAAGGGACGAGAAGCGGTATAGCCACGAGTTACTATTACTGTAATTACTGTTAGAAAGACGTGGAGCGACAGACATCCAGAAGTTGGAAAAGGAAAACGAGAAAGTTGTGAGTGATGAGGAATAAGCGTGGCCTCACAGAAAGAATGTTGTTTGAGAATATAAATAATCACAATAACTCACCGGTGTTTAGTTAGCTTTGTATAGAAGCCCTGCCTTAGTTTAAGCAATACTCTGGTAGCTGTGTACATGTACACTGCGCTCCGTATCACCAACAGCAGTAGATCTGAGAGAAACAGACAAACTCAGGGCGATGTGCGCTGGTAGGTTTATACCTGGACCTAGCGCGGGGAAGAACAGCTTATGTACAGCGCCTACGCGTTTGGAAAAACATCGGCGGGGAATTCCCTGAACTCGCTCAGACTTCTAGTCTGCAACCAGAGCGCCCGCTACATCATGTGACCACACACCCATACGCACCCACGCACCCACGCGTGCGCGTACGCACTCACGCGCGCGCGCATGCACGAACACACGCATGCACGCACGCACGAACACTCGCATGCACGCACGGAAACATTACACATACACACGCACACACACGCGCGCATGCGTACGCATGCCCGCACGCACGAACACACGCATGCACGCACGCACGAACACTCGCATGCACGCACGGAAACA